AACACATCGTATTAAAAGAAACGATTTGAAAAATGTGTTGGTTTCTAATAGTTTATCATCTCAAGCGTAGACGTGTTGTTCGATGTACTGAAGTAAGGATACTAGGCCAGCCAATGTTTCGTCACCACTTGGAATGATTTGATTTTCGGGAAGTAAAAATCCATATTTACCTATTGAGCAAGGATTCTATAGTAGTTCGTTAAACTTGAATAATTAAACTTACCAGTATCACGAAGTTCGACACCATAGCTAAATGTTACATTGGCTATACCATAGGTCCAATCGACTGTACTACCAGATGCAGCGTAGATAATTTGAGCAATAGTGCCATGTTGATATTGTGTGCCTTTAATAGTAAAACAAAAATAATCCTAAAACAATGAGTATTTCGCATTAGACGAACCATGCACACCGGTTAGTGCATTGATAGCTTGGATAGATCCATCATCTTGTAATTTGAATTGTGGTGATCTAAGAGTTGTATAAGCTAGAGAGAAATATTGGAAGATGAGATCGAACTTCATATTCGAAACTTACACCATGGTGACATCCATAATTGTGAGTACGAATGAAAATTGATATAGTGAACCAGTGTACCCTGTTGATTAGCGATGAATTTAGCTACTTGAGCTGTTTCAATTTCAGAAAATGCTTTCTCGCCACAGAAAGTGTCCGAACAAGGATCAGACGAAGCACCTCCTGCAATTAGTTGTGTGAAAACGAAGGCATCACAATGAAAAAATGACAAACTCACTACTACACCAATCATAATCCCAATTACGGTTCGGATCAGCACCAAAACAGAGCGGAGCTGATGTTTTGCTGCGAGTTTTACGCCATAATCGATCTTGAAGAAAAAAATAACTAAAATTTTAATAAGAAAATTCTTCTTTGATGTTAACTATTACCTTTTGTCCATGTATACGCATAGCCATCAACGTTGAATACAGGCAAAATATAATAATCAAATTGGTCAACTAGATGCGTGATGGTCGGATCTTGGCCATACTTTGACAGAAGAGTATAGGCAATGTAAATGACAGTTGCCGGACTGATCCATTCGCGAGCGTGAATTCCTGCATTACACACGGATACAGTCGAAAATAAACGAGATTCATGAAAAAAACTAAGAACCACATACCTCCATCCCACCAAACAGCCTTTTTTGCGATGGCTTTGATGCCATCACGCTTTGTTGCCATCTTCTTGGATGAAATTTTGAAGCCTTTCATATCTCTATTTTCATATGATTTCCCGACGGTAAATGGTGTGGCTATTTCCGGATAAGTCGCAACGATTTGATCAACCCATGCATGAATCTCTTCAATGGTGTGATACTTATCGTACGCAAAATCATTCGCATTCGACGATGATCGATGCAGATTTTGTAAAACTCGTTGCATTTCAATTATTGCACCAATATCAGCCATATGAACCACATGTTTGATTTTCACACTGTCCGATGTCAAGAAATCAGCGAAAGCATCAATTGCTTGAGGTGGGACACGAACATCAATCTATTTGAAAAAAAAGTGTCGTCCATTGTAATGAAGAGAAATATGTTTGAATAAGAACTTACTGATTCATGGACGCTAAAGTGTTCTGACCAAAAGTTGATATCATACAAGTGAGCTATATGACTGAAAGTCAGTATTTTAGCAACTTGTTCATTGTTAGTTGCCTACTTCTCTCATCGTTCTTGTTTTATTCGTGACAATTGGTGCAAATGCAAACTATACTAGATCGTACGNAAGTTGTTCCCACAGGACGCTAATCCACACCCGCCGACATTCATAATTTTTCAAGAGTCAGACAACATGATAAACTGAAATGTTTCTTCACGGACAGTTATCGAAAATCAAATTAAAAACAGGATACTATGAGTTTCAATTTGTATAGCCAAGTTGTAATGCAAACTTATCTATTTGTTCTGGTCACAGATGTACTCGACACTTATAGATGATGAGAAGGAGCAAAAATGCACGGCGTCTTTTTCTTGTTCATTGTATTTTGCCGCTAGAAAAATACCGTCAATGCGAGCAATACAAAAAAAATAACAATAAATTGAGTTGCATGACACTCTTCTTTAACAGAATTGTTTCCGACAGATTTTTATCTATAGTTTGTTTTGACCTTAGCTACGAATTTTATTAGTAGGGGATCACAGGCACCATTCTCGCAGGAAATATCTAAAAGAGAAACGATTCTCAGCTTGAATGTGTGGAATGCCGGTATGGCTGTCGACGAAAAGAAGACCAGCACTCACACCCTAACAGTTAGTGATTGTTTTGCTTCAATTTTCTGCCATCCCTCCCTTATCATGTGCAATCTCTTTACAGAAAACTGATCTTCTATTTATCTCTTCTATTCTCTCATGTGTCACTGCGTGTGGGTGTAATGCCCTATTTGGCCACACTCACATCTGTCATTGAACAAAGACAAATGAAAACGATCAATATTCTCGGTATCAATTAGTGTTTCAATGACGCATCAATCCAAAATCTATCCAAACGATTTGAACTCGAAACACTTATCAATGATGAATATTAAAAAACAGTAGCAGTGGATCCTAATTTCGATAACAACGAACTGACATGGCTTATACTAGCCCAAGGTGTTTATTACATGAATCGAGATATTATTTGTTATGACATAATGATGCGTAAATTTTTTGTTGATCCAAAGGAATCATCTCAATCTACATGGTGATAACATGCTTTGGATATAAAACATGATACTTGCCATGAACAATCAACTAAAAATTGAATAATATAAATAGCAGCGTTGCAATGTATAATGTTGTATTGTGGCAATGTTTTGATATTTATTATGACATTGTTAAGAGAAAATAATCCCAGAAATTAAATAGAAATTGAAAAGAATATCAATGAATCACATAAATTCTGATTTTTTTCATTTCTACTACAAAGCTGAAAGATTCATATAGAATAAATCTTTCTTTCTAATTAAGCCACAAGTCTAAAACTTGACCTTCATCCATTACAAATTAGTTGACAAAGTCGTTAACGTTTCTAGAGTTCTTTCCTCGTGCATAAGATTGCTCGATACGGAAATTTACTTTTCATTACCTATCTTTTGTTAAATCAATAAACCGTATTATGGTATATCATTCAAAGGTGTTGAACTCAAATTTTTATACCATAAATTCCTTTCCAGAAGATCTATATCTAGTTTCTGGTATATAGGATTGTATCTAAAAACACATTCTATTCTCTTTGAGGGTGTTGTTCTAAGTTTCGATGATTCATCACTGACTGATGATTCTCTTATGCGTTTATGCATAATCGAAAAAACTGCACTAAGAAAATATTGCTCGTCAATTCTCTTTCCTTCTATATGTTTCCCGTTCTCGTGACTTTTGTCCTTAACCCTCCCAGGATAACTGATGCATATGTACGTCATGTGATAGAGAAAAAAAAAGAGATAATAATTCTTGTCCTGGAAGAATAAATACTCCGTCTTTGTAGCACTCATGTCATAAGTTATTTTACTACATCACCATGCGCTTCGATCGGGTATGAAAGCTTTGTGAATAGCATATAACTTCTAACTCAGCATTTTTCTAATGCTTCTATTGATTTTATATGTATTGTTGTTTTCTTTTAGGATCCAAATCGTTCTCCTTCACGTTCACCTCCACCATTCGACGATGAAAACAACAACGATGATGTTGATGATGAAACTGAACTGTCAGCAAACATTACTGAAAAGGAGGCTGAAATGAGACATACACAAGAATTACTCAACGAACGGATGAGGCAAGCTGAAATAACGCTTGCTCATCTTCGACAGGTCAATCATCTATTAGAGCAGTTCAAAACTCTCGGACACAGTCATGGACATACAAAAAGTTGAACTTCATATCTTTCTTGTATCAATAAATCTTTCGTTATTTTTCTCTATATTATGATGCGAATAATACTAGCAGTCATAGTGTTGGCATTTTTCCATATAATGATTTGTATTACTGAATATTGCAAATAATGATGATGCGAATGACACAGTACACAATCGCTCATCAACATTCAAATGAACATTAATATAAACTTCTTCTAGTGTTGCTACAGGTTACTATAGGAAGAAAACCTGTCCATCCCCATCTTCAGATACTTTAGTGAATTACGTTAGCGATTAATTCTTGATGTGAAACAAAGCAGTTGGTACCTATACCTTTACTAATTTTTTTTGTTCTAATACTTCTTGGTTGTAGATGGTAAGCTTACGAAATCATGGTATCAGTGAGTAATATCTATCATAAAAAGCTGCGTTTTAAAAATATATTTTTTATTGAAACTTTTTGACAAAATGTGATGTCTATGTTGATGAAATAGATACTTTGATAAGAGTTAATTCATCAGCTTATAGAAAACAGAAAAGATTCGAACATTAAATGGAATACAAGATTAATAACGGCACTATATAAGAAGAAACGATATACATCACGAACGAAAGGATTACTTTTTATCAAATGTAGTTATTCAATCGTTAATTCTTTCTCTTTAAATTTCTACCCTGGATAAACGTTAATTAACTCTAATTGTTCCTAACACATACAGACTAAATAATCTTGATATAGATAATATAGAGAAAAAAATTTGTTTATCTGTATTAAGAAGCATTTGTGCTGAAAATAATCGCAACTCGTGTTATTAAGCACAACTTTTAACGAGATCTTCTTTTTCAATGCAGACGTATGTTATTTTGTATAGATTTGGAATTTCAAGATTTGTTTTAAATTAGTAAACGATTATTTGTGAAGTCAAGTGAACAACAAATGTTTTTTTTTGTGGGAAGGGAATATCTAACTTTTGTTATTATAGGGGCATGATGAGATAGATTTTGGGCGATTAATTTTTGAATAATCGAGTGTACGAATCAATGTTTGAAAAATATTAATCTGTTGTTATTGGAATGACTTAAAGAACTCTCAATTAATTAAATTCTATCTGAAATTAATAATTTCATTGATTAAATTACATAAAAACTTTATTTTTCTCAAAATATGAAAAAAATTGAAGAGACTACAAAATAGAGTATTGATGATGATAATGAGATCAAGAGACGAACGTTAGATGATAAAAATGATTTTGTGTGATATATTTGTTCTTAAAAGAACAAACAGTCGAGATGAATTAATTAATGAAGAAGAATTTTATTTTCTCATTTAAAATTATTATTAATTCAGCTAATCAAAAGAAACTTTGATTGATTTTTGAAGATCTTTTAATAGGGTGTGGGTGTAGATGTGGGGTATTAGATCAGATACGATCAGCCTATGCCGACACGCACACCCACACCCTCATTCAGGTCTCAGAAGTTCGATGGTCTAGCTTTCGAAAAATATAGAAAATTTTTCGTCGCCTTCACTGCCACTGTAAAAGGAAAGTTTTTTTCTTGTTACTGAAAGATGTAAATCTTACAATGAAAAAAGGTCCACTACGGAACTAATGAGGTTTCGTCAAAATTTACCATACCTTTCTAGGTAACACGGACTCGTACAGAACCTCTATGAGATTTCGTGAAAACCATTAAAGATTTTTCTGGTCTCAAAGGTTCCGTATCATGTCTTTTAGAGGTATCGCAATCGAGAGGTTTCGTACCAAACTAATGCTTTTTCTTACCTCATCTATAACAAGAATGAATGTTCACCAACCACGAAGTATAGTGATCACACTTCATTCTTTCTTTTCTTTATTTACTTTCTGGATACAATCGACTTTTGGATATTAAATGACTTCTGTCAGTTTTAATGCTTCCCGATTGCAACTTTATTGTTGAGTATAGGGCTAATGTGTTAAGGATAGATATAAGAGATTCAATATAGAAATGAAGGGTTATCGATAGGTATGAGCGGTTAGAAATATATGTACGAAATTTGAAACATATTCGTATGAATGGCCAGTTGGAATGGTAAATGATTGGAAATAGATAGAGGGGATTATAGATATGTTTCGAATGGTCAGATAGAAAAATAGGTAGATTAAATAGATGCTTGGCCATAGTAGAAAACTGATATATTGAACCATTTTTCCAACCAATGAAAAAAAGGCAACGCGCAACCTTCCTCGTTTGAAACTTTAAAGGGTTTCGATTATGTTGCAAAAATCACAAGTGTTTTAGGTTTTTTATGGTACCTTTTTTCAATGTATTCATAGTTAAACTTGTATCATGCTCCGGTGTACACTAATCGAGCCAAAGTAAATAAAAAGTATGCGTTCTGCCAGCGTTGGTGTGGCTTGCCAATGTGTCATTTGTATTGCTTGCGGAAAAACGTGAGCGTGTCGACATTCAACATATTTATATGAAGCAGTCGAACTACTTATACAATACCGCTTGAGAAATTGAGTGATTCTCTTGTGTAGACCGTCTGATTAATAGAAAGACTGCAATTCACTATTCATGAAGCGAG